CTACAAAGGCAACGGTGGTCAAACACCTGAAGCCAGCCTTCTCATGTCTTCCACCTTCAATGACCATCTTTCACAGCCATACAGTACACACATAAAGTAGAACAGACTGGACTGTTGTGATGGTGCAGTACACGCGACCCTTAATAGACAATCGGATATCACGGTGGGACCACAGATGGTGTGAGTTGGTGAAAACAAGTCGAGGCTTTTGTATTCGTTCAGAGATTTCACCGGCCACTGAGCCACCAGGGTAGGGCTGATCCCACTTCACTTCCCAGGTAAGTGAAGTGTGGTCGATACACTCAACCACTACACTGTCTATTATTAGCCGCAGTTGGGTACCGTTGAACATCAATCCTGGAGTAAAAGTTTGCATTTGGGCGGTGAAAAATGCATCCCAGACATTCTTAAATTCCTACTCAGACTGTCCAGAAGACTGCATCTTGTCACCGTCTTCACTCAACAGGACTATGTTACCTGCGTATTCTAGGTCTAATGAAAATTCTACCGCGATTAGGTAAATCTCTGTGTAGTCAGGTGACAAGATGGAAATTTTATTATTATTATCAATACTTTTTATTATTGAAGTGCAAAGCAGGTAGTCAGGAAGAATTTCATAGTTATCGTCTGACATTTGCTTTCACACTTTGATCGATTAACAGGATTAAACGTTGACAATCCTTTTTTTCGGACTGCCAAAAGTCAAGAAATACAGAGAAATGGAGTTCTTTCATTGCTGGAAAATATCAAGTTCTTTGTGGTCAACTTCATATATGTGTATGTAACTACTGAAATATGATTTATGCTGTTGCCTGTGTGTGTGTGTGTGTACGTGTTTACATGCATAACCATCTTGCTTATTACTCCACCGTCGTAAAAATAAAATGGAAACATAACAATTATCACCCTACTTTCCTTCCGTTTTTTTGTTTTCAGAGAAAGGCATTTACTTTTCAGACGTTTAGTTCTTTTGAATAAATATTTGAATAAAGCTAAGTTAGAATAAAATTAGATTGTCTTGTTTCAGAGTTTATCTTTAGCTGTAAGAATGAGATGAGTTTTTTGTTGTTGCTGAGGTTATGGTTATATAACGTACGTTAACTATGCGCAAAGAGATAACGGCCATAATTAATACCACTTTGTATATGTGATCGAATAGCAGACTATAAAGCAGCATACATGTATGTAAACGAAGAAAAGGTGTTCTACACGCTAACAGATTATATAAACACATGAATAACTAGAAAACATTGACGATAGCTTAATACCAACATAATAGTTATAATTACTGTGTAATAGTTGAAATCTCCACACCTCGTATCGGGACATCAAGCAACAATCGATGATGAATCGTGACTAGGCGTGTGTAACGTCCCAGCCGCCTCACTTGATGAAGGTTCAAAACCTTATCGGCTTAGTTTCCCTACCTACCTAAACATCTACACCTGACTTCTATGTTACTTACCTGGTGACACTGTGACACGGCCTACGGTTCGAAGGCGACAGTGTTCGAACACCTGTGACCTGCGATCATCTTCCTTCAATGGCTGTGTTTCGCAGCCATATATAATTTAACAGAGTGAAGTGTGTCGCAGTGAACTCGGCACCTAATAGACAATCAGATATCACGTTGGCGCCATAAATGGTGTACGCTGATGAAAATCAAACGAAGAAAGCGTTGAACTAACAGCGATTATAATTAGAAATAAAACAAAAGTGGTGAGATATGAAACGTCGCCATTGAAGGCGAAAGATATAGGAAGGCTTCAGGTGTTTGGTCACTGTTTCCTTTATAGTACAGGCCGTATTCCATGGTTATAGGGAGAAGAGATGAGTCAGTTGACATGGTTGTGAACCTTCATCGACTGAGATGCTTGGCTCCAACATGTGTTGCGTTACGTTTTCCTAGTCGCCGTCTGCCTCTTAACACAATGTTGGTCAAAGTAGATTCAGGCTGGAAAAAGGCTGGATGTGGCCAGACTAAACCATGGGATGAATGTATGAAGTGTTTGACTGTTGGTTTGAGCCATGTGTGTCGATGCAGACTAGTCGGTTGGGGTCTGTGGGACAAGAGAAACCAGTGGTTGGAGACTGATTGTAGGTGATCACATGGCTGAGAACTGATGTGAGTGGCACAGATGTATAAACATACATACGTACATACACACACACGCACTCACATACATTGTCCTCATCTTAACGACGCTATACCTAATCTCACCACTTTATCATTCTTCTTTTCTCTCTTTTAGTAGTTTATATTTGTTTTGATAGAATTTTGTTTTTTTCATGTTCCACTTGACTACCTTTTTAGTTGATGTAGTGATAGGAGACGTGGCAAGTTGGACCGTTGTGGAGTAATGCTTGATCATATGTTGATTTAGATGGAAAGATAATGGAGAGATGTGGCTATCAAAATTGTACACCGCTACCAGTATAGAGATGGTTTAGTCACATTTACTTTCTTGCATGAAGGTTACTGCCTAAACTGTTTGATAGCAAGGGTATCGAAGAAAATTAATCAACATGAACTGGTCTGTCCGTTCATGAATGTGAGCGACTGGCAGATATCTGTCTGCTATGTTGTTTGAATCAAGTTTCTGACCATTGCACCAGTAAATATATTATCCCATTCTGAAATGTCAATTTCTTGAAACGTCATCGGTAAACTGGATAGATGCTGTTTTTTCAGTAAATTTGCCATAATACGGCTTCAGGGAATCGCCTTGCTGATGCTCATTTTATTTTTCGATAGTTGTCTTACGTTGGTGAATCATCTTTAAATACTAGCTGAACGTGAACAGGTTTCTTGTCAATGGTTGAATGCTTTGGTCTATCGACTTATTCTTGCTATTTCTGCGTAATAAACTTATTAAAACATTGGTTATCTTTGAGAATTTTTTTAATATTGGCCAAATTTTCATCCAGTTAGTTAATTGAACAGAATATTCTTACTCCGATAAATTGCTACTCAACTATAAACTGAGGGTTGAACAGAAATCTAAGTATTTTTAACATGCATTTCGCTGGCACCTGTCAAATGTAAGACGATGCTCCAGAACTGGTCTGCGACCCTTCCGAGTTTAATAATACGAAATGAAGTGATGGGATGTGTTGACCACTTCAGTTACTTGGAGAGTTGTGTTAGCCCACCGAACAGGCTTTTCTCTGACGAAATTTCAGCTCGGATACGGATGACAAGTCTAGTAATTGTCAAATTACGTCATACGTGGTGCCGACCTGCGAGATATCTGACTACCTGTGAAAAAAGGTAGACGATGTGATTAGGTTAGAAGAGGGTTCAGGGTAGCCATACAAAGACGTGTCACCAGCGCATGAAGTCTCTGACTGTCTGTGTGAAGGGTGTGGGGAGATGTAGACTATCGACTGGTTGGGTTCCCCGAGATGAAAGGAATCAGTGGTTGGATATCGGTCAAAGTGGTGCAGATGTATTCACAATGTAATGTCTTTTGAAGCTTGACTATTGTCACTAGTGGTTATCTTCAAATGCTTTACACAACTTCGTTGACTTTGATGTCACTCTTGTATGTACCTGTATCTGTTTACTACTGTGAAGTGTGACTAATTGAATCGATGTACCTATATGTATGGTTATACATTGATTCTGTGTCTTTAAAGTGAGGTTGTATTCTACTTCACGGAGGCTATTGTGGTGCACAGGTACTCATTATTAGTGGACTGGTGATGGTGTTTTCAGTTGTACTATCATCCCTGCAACTACTATTTCGGGATCCAGGGAACTGAATTTGTTTTCGCTTTCATAACCCATCGTAAATTTAGGTTAGTATGTATCAAGTGTCGAACAGCCTTAATGTATGACGCATATGATCACAAGCAACAAAGTTTATCATCCAGTATACCTGTTGTTTTCTTGATCGTAGAATTCGAATGCATTTTGGTTGAAATGAGGTACATCTGGCATAGATCCTATTGTGATGGAATTACGGAAAATCAATGATTATTTAATCATCACTTCATTGTTGTCGTTTAGAGAAAAGTGTGCTCTTTTTTTACCATAGGATATGTACTTTTTTCTTTAACGCTGGAATCCATCATGGACTGACATCGGTTCGAGGAATACTGGAAATCTAGGAGCACTGGATAGCTGTTTCACTATAGTATGGGACTCCTCAGCAGTGCGCACCCAGGACCTTAAGGTTCAGTGGCCAGCACGTTACCATTGAGCCACTGGGTCAGAACCCAATCGTCCACATTTCTTACTTCTATCAGCTCATGATATAGTAGGACCTACATCCAATGTCATCATTGAGTAACTGTCCTCATGTTCGACTTGCAGCACTGAATTATCATTGTACGTTCCAGAATATCTCTCATATATCATCTCTACATAAGTGTGCCTATCACAGGTTGAAATATTGTTTCTCCTTTCGTGATTTATGGCAAGTACTAAGTTGCATTGGATAAGTGTGACTAATATCTGTTGAGTTTCATTTTAATTTGGAAGCTTTTGGTGATTTATTCATTGATTTCAGGCTGATATTCATCATGGATTGATTTTATGTATACAGCTGTTGGGAACCTGTGATCACTGAACAGCTGTCTTGCTATAGAATGGGATTCCTCAACGGGGGTCGAGCCCTGGCCCTTAACGTTTCGCAGCCAACATGTTACGAATGATCCACTGGATCGAAATCCGGTGGTCAGCATTTCACGATATACTACGATCTGCATTCATAATCGTCGTTGAGTAACTGTCCTGACGTTCGACTTGATTTTGCTCCACCGGTCATAACTTCTTATTAGATCTTTGGGAATCACATCTCGAAGCAAGTCCCTAATGAGAACTAGATTAATTGAATTTGGAAGTTTGTGGGATTTGTTCAGGTCCGTATTCATCATGGACTGACATTAGTTTCATTTTAGTTGGAAAATTTATACATCCTATCGAAAACCATAAACCTTAATGCGTTTTCTCTTGCTTTCTAATCCTCTTTTTGGTCTTTTTCTTCATTACATAGGTAATACCAGTTCAACAAAACAGTTAAAACACATTAGTAACAGTAGCGTCAGTGGGAAAAATATTCGTTCAGATCATTCAATGCTTAACAATTCACCTTCACATTCACCGCATTCATTGGCGTCTTTTTCAAATACAATCTCACCAAATGGTAATAATATTGATAATATGGATATTACAGACAATGATGAAGTGATGGTAACAGATGAACATGAATTATCCGATACACAAACATCAGTGACAACGGGACTCATTAATGAAGCTGTTAACACAAATACAACCAGTAATACTAATAATAATAATATTGTTAAAATCAATAATTTCACATTAAATCCAATTGAAGTAGCTAATGCAGCTAAAGTTGCTTTATTAATGGCACATCCATTAGAAGAACCAAAACGTGTAGCCTGTGCTATATGTCAGAAACGTTTTAAAAATCAATCCGCTTTAAATGGACATATGAGATTACACGGTGGTTATGGTCCAGCTGGTTTGACTGGGATAACAACTAATTCAACAGTTGCATCATCATCATCGTCATCGTCAACACAATCAAATCAAACTCATCATCATAGAAGTAATAGTAGTGGTCATGGTAGCAGTAAAAGTGTCAGCAAACTCACAGATCCTGGTCCGTATCGAACAACATCTAGTAACAACAACAGTGGTAATAATAACAATGTCAATAATAATTCAGATCTTAAGAATAAATCATCTTCAACACTCACCGATATTAGCACATTGAAATCATCCAGTTCACAGTTATCTCAGTTAGATACAATTACGGTAACTTTATTTATTTATTGATCAGTTAACTGACTACTGAGATTGTGTATTCATTTATCACTAGAGAGTAACCAATTTTTAAAGTTATCTACTCTGGAGTCCTAGTTGAATTATTTCTGTCTATTTGCTACTAAGTTTTGATGATATACCATTGCTGTGCATTTTTCTTGGATGTTAATCTGTAGAAGGTAACTGTCAGGAATCGCTGTTTAACCGACGTTTCATGCTTGTTGATACCTGTCAGAAAAGCTGTATCTAAAATCCAGAAGGAATTGATTTACACCTGTGAAATTAGAATTGATATTGTTTTGAAGAGAATGTCTGGGATGCACTTTTCACCGCCCAAATGCAAACTTTTACTCCAGGATTGATGTTCAACGGTACCCAACTGCGGCTAATAATAGACAGTGTAGTGGTTGAGTGTATCGACCACACTTCACTTACCTGGGAAGTGAAGTGGGATCAGCCCTACCCTGGTGGCTCAGTGGCCGGTGAAATCTCTGAACGAATACAAAAGCCTCGACTTGTTTTCACCAACTCACACCATCTGTGATCCCACCGTGATATCCGATTGTCTATTAAGGGTCGCGTGTACTGCACCATCACAACAGTCCAGTCTGTTCTACTTTATGTGTGTATTGTATGGCTGTGAAAGATGGCGATTGAAGGTGGAAGACATGAGAAGACTGGCTTCAGGTGTTTGACCACCGTTGCCTTTGTAGTGTGGGCCATATTCTGTGGTGTCATCACGTGAGTAACACAGAAGTCAGAATCAGGAGTAGAGTTTAAGACAGGAGATGTGAGACAGTTGACCTAGTTATGAACCTTCATCGATTGAGATGATGGGACATGTGTTGCGTATGCCCATTTTCCATCTGCCTCTTCACACAATGTTGGTCACAGTAGATTCAGGCTGGAAAAAGGCTGGATGTGGCCAGACTAAACCATGGGATGAATGTATGAAGTGTTTGACTGTTGGTTTGAGCCATGTGTGTCGATGCAGACTAGACGGTTGGGTCCGTGGGACAAGAGATACTATTGGTTGGAGACTGATTGTAGGTGATCACATGGCTGAGAACCGATGTGAGTGGCACAGATGTATAAACATGCATACATACACACACGCACACACATACACATTGTCCTCATCTTAACGACGCTATGCCTAATCTCACCACTTTCTCATTCTTCCCTTCTCTCTTGCAGTAGTTTATATTTGTTTTGATAGAATTTTGTTTTCTTCATGTTCCACTTGACTACCTTTTTACTTGATGTAGTGATAGGAGACGTGGCAAGTTGGACCGTTGTGGAGTAATGCCTGATGCTATGTTGATATTAATGATGATGAGGGAGTTTTTTGTAGAGTGTAAATTTTATTTTCAAATGATCTTCAGGCTGACTCACTTGCGTTTTTCATTAGTGGTATTTGCCAGAATGTTACTTCAAATATGTCATACATATTATTGAGTATGCAGATCAGATCAGTGAGATCAGATCAGATCATTGAGTATGCAAAATAATGTCGGATATTGTCAGTTAGTTAGTTATTCAACCTGGTGTTCAGTTGTTGGCGTTATACTTCAGAATTATTAGTTTGAAATTAGATTAAGCAGTTTCAGTTATATTTCTTTCGATAACTTTATTGGTGCTGTCTAAGTGTCTCATCTTAATGGCAGTGATGTTGATGATGAAGATGATGACTATACAACTCAGTAGCTTCTCCCAGATTCTTATACTATACTGCTGATCGTCACTCAAACTTTTTCCCCGACATATAGCTTGCCCCTTGACCTTGTGGTTAGGCTTGCATATTAGAATGACTCAACGAGCTATGCTGGTGAAACGCTTGTTTCCCCGGGGTCCTACCATATTAGAAGGATCTGTTGGTTAGTGGATAAGACGAAAAGGAGTTACCGTTGTAGTGTAGATTGCTACGTTGTGATGGGGATTCGAGGGTGAAGTCGTACTGCTGGCTGGACTGGGTTGGTTTATAACAGCAGTAAGGTGTTCCTCTTGTATGTCGATCCATACAACACCTATACTGCCTTCTTTATGGGAAACAGAGGGGTGTGGAAAGGTCAGCCCCAAAGGTAGCTCATTCCTATCTGCTCGCGTTATGCTGATACTTGCAATAGGTATCCATAGTCGTATTCGGAAGCAAAAGCTAAAACCTCAAAGGCCGTATGTGACTGTCCTGAAGTAGATGTCCCTTGCACTCTGGGGCCACACACTATCCCTCCTTTTTCAGGTACCTCAAGAAAAACTACCCTTCCATGGTTTGGGCAGCTGGGGAGTGTCAACCACCCACACGCCTCCAGTAAACTTTTCTAATGAATCAATGAAGATGATACCTGCATCACTCATTATTCAAGTTAGGTTGAAGACTTTACCACTAAGATCTGGTTATTTCACTAGTAACCTCACTCGGTAGTGATAAAGTATTCCTCAATGCTAATAAAAGGTAATTGATGATTAGGTTGTATGAAGCAGAAGAACAACAAGCCTCATTGTAGAATGTAAACTTCTCTTTACTTCATGAATTTTTCTTTATTCATTTCTTTACTATGTCAAATTCTATGCATTCCGAAAAGCTAATCCATGTACTCTTATCAGCGTGAAAAGAAAATGTTCTTGGTCATACTTTATAGACTGAGATATTGAACTGTTGTCACTATTATCATAACACAGTTGTTGATTCAGTCCAACTAGTTTTTTTCCCCAGATGTCATGATTATTGATCAAGACAAAAGACAAGAAGCAGCAAGGATTCCGTTGACCATTAAAGTATTAGAACACAACAGACTAAATAAAAATGTATGCTGTTCTATAACGTCTCTCATAGCATTCATTAGATCGTCAACAGTATTGCACATTCCGAGCCACGGCTACCTACCTCAACGTACCGTGGCTAAAGGAAGCTGGATTAGGTTGGAAGGGGGTTCCGGGTTTTCAGTCCATGAAGTCCATTGCATTTAGTCTGAGGAGTGTGAAGAGATGTAGACTACGTCGTGGATGGAGTCCTCGAGGAGATAGGAATTAGTGGTTGAGGTCTGTTAGTGAGATGGTTGAAAATCGGTCACAATGGCATAGATGCATTCACTCCTTGAAGTCTTCTAAAGGTTGAATATTTGCACAGACTTATATCTTCATATTGTTTGTTCTCTCAAACAAGTTTGATATCAGCCTTCTTCTATCCACCTTTTCTTTGAACCGATGTACTTGTGTGCGAGGTTATATGTTTTGTCTATCTGTCAGTAGTGAGATAAGTTTTCTTCTATAGAATATTATAAAACATTATGAATAATCAGACAGCAAATTAAGAACAAAGCAAAAACAAAAAATGAATCCACATTCACTTGAGAAAAGTAAGAAAATAATGTACAGATTGTACGGTTAACTGAGTTGAAGCTTTTTAACTACTTTAACTGTATAGTCAACAGGGTTTCTGTTGGAAACCACCCCGCAGCTGAGATCACAAGGTTGTGATCTGTAGAAAAAGTTTCATGTCGATTGTTTGCAAATCGATCATCCTATTTTAGGTACACCGTTTGTGTAAGTCAGCTAGCCAGATTAGGGCGATCTGAACCAATTCGGCTCTGTGAGCCGATCTGACTGACGAATTCTGCAGATCAGCTCGAATGGTTTCCAACTATTCAAATTGTTTAATAGTAGTATCTTCGCGGGGAGTATAGTTCATCGGGTAAAAGTTAGGTTTCTAAAGGGATTGAGTGCAAACAGAAAAAATGAGAAGAAACATGGAAAATGAAGTGGTACTATAGTATAAGATGTTTTGGATATGAATTGCAGCTAAACTGATCACCAAGGTAATGTGAAATTAGCAGCTGCATTCTTTAAATGCCTTTAGGTGGTTCAAGAGTTCTATTTCCTCTGAATAAAGACTACATATCGGTTTGAATGGATGTATGTTCACACCTAAATAGTTGACGTAGGAAGGTTACAACTGGAAGACTGTTTCGTGGTAAACTCAAATTTGAGTTTGCTGATGAAGCTTTTACAGAGGATCTGATCTGAAAGTTACTAGATGACAACGCTTTACATACTACACCCTTTCCAGCTTTCCGTAAAAACAGTAGTTTAGATTGTAATGAAACTCCAGGAAAAGGTTAGAAAGAATCAGTGACTGTAACTACGTTCATCTGAATAGATGGATATACGTGAACGCAATTTTATTTCACAAAAAAGAATCGTATATATCTATTTGGTGATCATAAGAATTGGCAGGCCAGAGATGCAGAGAAGACATTGACCTGTAGACAAATAGTAGATAACTTTTTAGATTCATCAAGGAGTTAGAAAGGAGAAGTTCACCTCGCCTCCAGGTAGTCTTCAGTTTCGCTATCCAGTCGCAAGTTAATCGCTACATTGAAATTATACTTCGAAACCTTTTAGAAGTTGAAAAGACTATCGTTTACCTGAAAGAAGAAATAGCAGTTATTTCTTATGGTCTGGAACAAGTAGTATCTATGACCTTTGATTGAGGATTATCGACTAAGATTTCACTAGATTATTCAAATCAGGTCGGGATAATCCCATCTCACTTTCACATTCGATGATTGTGATAGAACTGATGTTGGGTGACTGTGTTATGATGAAAATCGATTACGGCAGCATAGGTGAATTCTCACCTTACCGTTTTTCAAATAGTTAATTCATCTTTTTAATTTCAGCAAGTTTTTATGATATTTTCTCTGTGTGTGTGTATGTGTTTCGTCTTACTGCCTTATAACTTGATATGAATAATGTGAAGCATGGCAACTTATACCGTTATTCACTAATGCTGGATCTCATGTTTTATTACATTTACTAACTTCTGATAAGCCCATCGAAATGCAACAACTTTAACTGATTCTAATTATTGATTATTTTGAGCAAACTGAAGTTGCTAGACAAATGAACAATATTATTATTATTATTTGTCCCTTGGGTTCCTAATGGAACATAGGGCTTCAGTAGCACGTCTCCATTCCACTCTCTTCTCTCCAATCTTTTAAACCTTCCTCCACGACACTCCAAGCTCTCATTTCTTCCTCACACAATCTCCTCCATGTCACCCTCACCTTGGACACCCAACTCGTCGTTTCCCATCTGGGTTCCACTCGAGTGCCTGGCCTGGTGCGTGATGTCCCCGAATAGTCTTCTCACTCAGTGTATGTCCAATCCATCTCCACTTCCTTCCAGTGCATATTTGTTGGTAATAGGTTCTTGGTTGGTTCGTTACCAGTTAGAGTTACTTGTTGCTTATTCTTCCTGTCCATGTGAGCTACAGTAATGAGCCAGTGTAGGCAGTTGTTGATGAATGTCTGTAGTTTGTTGGAAATACCTTTCGTAACGCGACAAGTTTTGAACTATATAGAAGCACTGACTTGTCTGGATTAGTGTTGAAAATCTGGATGTTGTTCACACTTTATGCTGAGTGGAGTGTAGATGATCTCCACACTGATTTCAGGTTATGAACACCTGTCTTCTATCTTTCCGATGCTGTCTTTGATGTCGTCGTCTGTGCCACCTCCGCGTTTAGTTGAAACGATGCTGTCTGGGTAGGTGTAGGTGAAAGAGGCTACTTCCTTTAAGTTTCCTCATTGATGGTGATTGGAGCTTGTTGTTGTTGATTGGGTGATAATTGAAAACGAAATAGAAATCTGAATCACAGGAGGATTTAAACAATCAGCCACCTGGCCTGAAGATGATGAATAATCACAGTTTGAGGTAATGTGAGACGACAACTTCGCTTACAATTAACGTAATGATTAGGTCCTCTGATACAAACAGACCAATTGTGTCATCCTTCAGGGTAAATAGCACGAAAAAAAGACTTTTTGTACAGTGTGTGATCTTATATTTTTCATATCTATCTTGATTACAGACTGTTCGTGTGTCCCAGCATAAATCTTATACTTGATGAAGAAAATTCAGCATATTAAAGACATCATTAAAGTTGTTTTGTTTTTTTGATGAAAATTGTGTCATCAGGACACCTTGCACAAAACACGAATCGTGTCTTTTTCTAGTGAACTCTAAAGTTATCGAAGAGGATTGAAACTTTTAAAGACTAACTTCAACTTACTTGAATCTATCATCATTCAAGATAAAGTTAGGCTGAAATTATACTCTTTTGGAATGTATAGGCCTATTCATTTCACCTTGTAAAGTGAATATTGGTTTAGACAGTCTGTCCGACTAGAGTACATTGCCAATATAATCGATACATAGTTCATTGATAGCCTGGACAACTGGGTGGTGGTAGTATTACAAGTCTACGAGCAACACTATATGACTAATAGCTTAGTATATAAAAAATGTCTTGGATTGAGGTATAGTTTCTAAAAATTATTCATTCTCGTAATCTTTAAATGGTTAACGAGTTCCATTTCTTTTTTCACTAGTCGATTCTATGATCTCCCATTGACTTACTTGTAAATTGCTGTTACAATCGAATCATATAACAGGAAAACGAGGCATTATTTATTGTGCTGTATTACTCTGTGAGTATGCGATGTGTATGAAGGGTTATTTTCTGTACTTTTATTATATAAACTCATATTCTGTAAGTTATTATTAATTGCATGGAAAAAATTGTTTTCACTTCAAATGATCACCGTAATTTTTTTTAATCTTTTTAAAGGCTTCTCATACTAGTCTTGAGTCGATTTCATCAGTGATTACAACAAATACCAATACTACATATTCTTGTATTATGGATAATACTTCTTCTTCTACTCCCAATGTTGATACTTCTGGCAGTATATCCATCACTGTGACTACTACACCAAGAACAAGAGACTTGACCACGACGACAACAACTGCAGCAAGCAGTTCACTAAATAATAATAATAATAATATGGACATATCGAGTTCCCTGTTTAACTCCGCCATCGTATCACAATCAAATTCAGAAAATCTTCATCCTTCTAATAATCAAAGTCAGATAAACAATACTTGGTCATACATTGCTAATAAACAGATATTAGAATCAACCTTCAACACATCATTACACCATTCCAATATAAGTGGTACTTGCGGTAGCGATGATACCAGTGTACCATTGAATCGACACAAATTACAATTACAATCTGAAAATCTAACTAATAATAGTATATCAAATCAAAATTGTCAACAGCTATCATTATATAATAGTTGGCTGTCGCCTCAGTTTACTGTATCCAGTGAATCGGTTCATTCCTCTAGTCAACACCATCAACATCAGCATCAATCGTTACAACATTTTCATATGGATCTATCAAATTTCGATGATGTTATTGACATAAATAAGAAGGATAATAATAACAATAGTAATAATAATAGTGGTTTAACATCACCTCGACATCATGGATCAATGGATGATGAATCATTGTTAAAGTATAATCGACGTTTATCGTTTGTATGTTCATCTAATATGAAGATGATGACAACGACGCCAGGTATAACTACTTCCACTGTCACAGCCATTGATTCATGTCATGGTCATCAATTCCATTCAGTCACTACTCCATCAGTATCAGCAACAGCAACATTATTTGATAAACATTGTATGACATCAAAAACTACAAGTTTAGCATCGATTCATTGTTTGTCAACTACAATAACTGATCGATTTAATAATTCACAGAAATCAGAATTACTTGGTCTAATGGATACAGATGATTGGTGGCATCCAGAAATAGGGAATTCATTGAATAGTAGTAATAATATTAATAATAACCGTGGTAACAACTCGAATCGTTCACTGAATACAAATTCGTTCGATCAGAAGTGGTTATCATTTGAAAATATGACATCGCTGGATAGTAATAATAATAATAATAATCCAAAAGGGATAACCAGTTTTGAGTTGTTCGATACTTCTGATCAAAAGCAAACAATAACTATCCCACCGAATATTCATTTAGTAAGTTGAAAAGATTCTTCTTTTTTTTTTATAGAATTTATTGTATTTTTTTAAAATTTTTACAATTCAACAAGTTGTATATTCAACTTTTCTGTGGAATCGTTAGCCCCTCGTCGTTGCCTGACTGTCAACCAGTCGACCACACGTTTAGACTTTATACCATCCAGTAAGGTTTATGTGATCACATGGAATTTTTTATTCAGTGGGTTGATGGTATAACTTTCAAATCTCAAATGCTCAGCACTGATCACAGTGTATCGATCAAGTTTGCTACAGTGGTCCATATCGACAGCTGGTACTTTGACATGTTGATCGGACCTTCATATCTGACTGACTGATAATACCAATGTAGAACCTCGCACTTAGGTGCATCGGTTCAATTTGTCACACCACAGTGGCATACAAAGAAACAAGTAGATAGAAAACGTTATGTTACAGAATAAGCAATTTGAAGATAAGGGTTAGTTCAAATATTCAAGGTATATAGAATATGTCAGGGAGTGAAAACATCTGTGCCAGTGTGACTGATTCTCAGTCATCTCACCAATAGTCCCCAACAATTAATTTTTGTCTCCTCAGGGACTCCAGCCAGGCTGCAGTCTACATTTCCCCGCATGCCTTAGACCAACAGTCAGAGACTTCATCGATTGTTGACAGGGCTTGGTGTGGCCACCCTGAACCGTCTTCCAACCTAATCGACCTTCTGGTAGCATGCCACATCGATTTAAGTGGTGGTGGCTGGGTATGCGAAACATATGTTCAAACCATCCCAGTCAATTAAGGTTCATGCTGGTGGAACGCTTGTTCTCTCGAGGTCCCACCATGTCAGAAGGATCTGTTAGACAGAGGTCAGACAAAAAACAGTTACCTTTGTAATGTAAATTACTACAGTATGATAGGTATCTGGGGGCGAAGTTGTATTTCTCCTAGCTGGATGGGGCGTGACAGGAGTAAGGTGTTTACTTTAGATAATCAACAGTACCACGCTGATACTGCCTTCCCGACGGGAAGGGGAAGTTAGAAAAGGTCGGCCCAAAAAATAACACACTCTGCCGTGCCCCATGGTCTTCCAGTGCCTGCGATATGGATTCTCTTTATCCGGCGTTAGAACAATTAGGCCTCAAAACAGCATCCTAGAAAGGTTGTGCGTAACAGGCCTCAAACACATGTCCTCTGCGAGGGTCTGTGAGATTGGGAGGAAAGTGATGAATAATTTTAACGGTGACACAAACAAGCTTATTTACTTGCTACAAGGCTGGCAGCGGAATCCAGAACACAAGAGCATGTGAATTTTGTAGATACACATAGAAATGGACATAATCGGTAACCTTATCCTTTACACATTATGGAATCAAGCAACAACTCGAGAACATGAACCGTAGGCTAGCAGAATAGAAGGTATTATTGATATACTTCGATAGATGACTCTTCAACACTTCAGCAGTGGCATCCTCTTTGAATTCCAAATTCATGAATAATATTTTCTTTGGAACTGTGATAGCTTGAGGTGTAATTCATTTCTCTACATTTTCGTCAACAAGTCTTCTATGGTATCTATTATTCTAATTGTTCTTCCTCAGTATGAAATGTAAAAAGAACATAGATCATTTCCAAAGCCATAACTTTAAACTACCCACAAGACTGATGAATCTCTTCTTTGTTTGTGATAACATAAACAGGAAAAGGTTTTTATGCTGAATTCTGTACTCTTAAATTACACAGACCATCACAAGGGTTATGCGAGTGGTCGTCTTCTTGACAAAAGGTTCCATTCACCGTACAGCCAAGTGATAACTAATAGTTTGCATTTTTCTAGCCTACATTTGAATATAATCGTGTATAAGTTAGTGAACATGTCGGCGTTGATCCTAGTGGATGAAAATATTCTGTATAATGCCTAAAATGTCCTGAAATCCAGACGTGACGTATTATGACTCCTAAATCGTTGCATATTTCAGTGGTGAAAATAAAGTGATGCCGCCAATAATGTGAGTTTTATCTTCTCCATACCCTATGTATATGGATATCTGCGCTGGTAAGCATCAACAGTTTCTCTGATCAAATCAATAAAATGTTAAAGTCCATCTAACGTGTGCATACATCATCCTTCATTGTATCATTACTATCACTGTAATTTAGTTTGTTGCTGTTATAGTTTAATCCTAACACTTCACAGTAGTATACAAACAACAGATGGATCAAAAAGTGGGATATCAAAGTAGAAAACGTTATGTAAGAGAATAGGCATTTCGAAGATAAAGGTTAGTGCAATTATTCAAGCTATTGTGACCGATTTTCAACCATGTCACTAAATGTCTTCAGCCACTGATTTCTGTCATTTCACTGAAGACTTTGCATGCCCACTCTGAATCCTCTTCCAACCTAATTCAGCTTCCTCTAACATGTGTGGTACATGCAGGTAGGTAGCGGTGGCTTGGCATATGCAACACCACTTATAAAAAGTGGATATCCATTGAAGTTTATAAACCATTTTAGAACTCAGGTAGCATCGAAGCTAACTCTAAACACGATTCCTAAAAAAAAATTTCCACATCACTACACCATACACAGAGGAGAGTTGAGTAGTATCATTTTGAGACCTAGGCTAACATCGGTCATTAAGAAAACATATTACGCAGCTAATCTTATTACTGTGAAAATAATAAAACATATGCTTCACCCCAAACCTAAACACTGCATCAATGATTACGTCACATCCCATTGTTTTTACCAGTTCACATGTCTGTGTGTGTATGTTGTCACACATACATAGGGAGTAATCGAGTCATGCAGTTGATGATGGTGAGAGAACATGTACCTAAATGACTTCAAAAGCAGATGGGGTATGAAAATTTAATAAGTCCAGATGAGAAATAACCCTCTTCAAATTTTATCACGAATTTCGCTTACTTATTCGGAACTAATTTCAGTTCAATTCTAAACTGTTAAAAGAATATTTGTTGATATTATTCTATTCAGTGTTTCATAAATTCCTGTGTAAAAACTCTACTCTGTCTAAGAGTTTGATGTAAAAAGATCTTTTTTGTTCATCATATATATATCTGAAGGATATCTATCTCTATTCAATAGTGTATCAAACTTTACAACATCTTGTGTGTTTTATAAAGCATAATAATGCCTTATTTCTGTGCTTCGTTTTTATCTCTCTTTGTCTGTGTGTGTATGTGTCTTCTGCCCGCTCATTCGCATCGATGTTTTGTTTCAATGTAACGTTCTATTTGTACGAATAATTACTATGCGCATATTCTCGCTCTCTCTCTTTGTCCCTCTCTTGAACTCACTTTAGACTATACATTACATTATATGATGTAACTTGCAGTTGATAACTGTATTCATCATTTGCCTTTATACATATTTTTCTCTGATATAATTATCTTCATTATTGTCATAATTAACACTAGTATTCATACATTAATGTTAATAATGCATATTTCCAAGGTGGGATTCATTAAGGATTGACATCATTTGGAGAACCACTAAAATCCTGGGAACATTGGACAGTTGTTTTCCCCTAGGATAGGGTTCCTCAGCAGTACCCACCCATGACCCCGCCGGAGGTTGAAGTCAGGACGTTCAGTTTCTGCTGCGGATATATTTAATATTCACCCATTTGGTTGAAGCTCAACGGTCCACAGTTTACCACCTCTGTTGATTCGCAGTACACCCGTGTAGCGTTGTATGGGACTGTATAGTGCTCATTACTGCCATTCCTCGAGATAGATATCCCAAAGTTCTAGTGAAATGCCGTGACCTATGGCGTCAACCATTCGGAAGTGAAGTGGATGCCAACTAAAGACCGCAGTGGATAGTCGTGCTGTATTGTGAATTGATCGATAGAAGTGGGAAACTGTGAACCATTGAACTCTGAGCCGGGTGTTAGTTGATAAACACGTTCACCGTGAACCTCGAAGGTTCCGAGCTCGATCCATAGTGGAGTCGTTGGTGCACATGGCTGAGGACTCCCATACTGGGATGAAATAGCTGTGCAGTTCTCCTGGGTTTCCATTGCTTTCCCAACTGATGTCAATCCGTGGTGAATACAACTTTAGAAACAAAATTCCTAATAACTTAATAATACAATGATTTAAGTGATTACTCTTTTCACTGTGTATAGGATAATCTTATTCACTGAGTAAAATTTCCTTTCGCTTACTTCAAGCGTGTTTCTCTGAGAGAAGGAACAAACAAATAACTACACATTATACTGCTCATTGTAGATAGTTTATTGCAAGTTGTTATGTCTAACCTGTTTAGGATTCATTGTAAAATTGTATAATTCGACAGATAAAGGTTAGACGACTAAGAAAATGTGGGATAGGTAGGGAAGTTAAGCTGTTTGTCTGTTTTGATTGGTACCCCCGGATGATGTCATTCCACAATAAATACTACCTTGAAATCAAGAAGTCGTTAAATGTCGAAAAACTTCCAAATTCAATCTGTTACCGCACACCAGTGTGACTACCGTTGACTTCGTAGTATATGCCGTATTCCGTGTTGTCACGAGGTAAGTAAAGCGGAAGTCAGGCGTAGAGTTTCAGGGAGTAGAGATAAATCAGTTGACACGGTTGTGAACCTTCATCGACCGAGATGGTTGGCTCTGACATGTGTTACGGATTCTTATTCGCCCTCTACCTCATCACACAATGTTGGCCGAAGTGGATTCAGGCTGGAAAAAGGGTTAGTGTGGCCAGACTAAACCATAGGATGAATGTATGAAGTGTTTGACTGTTGGTTTGAGCCATCTAGGTCGATGCAGACTAGTCAGTTGGGACAAGTGATACCATTGGTTGGAGACTGATTCTAGGTGACCACATGGCTGAGAACCGATGTGAGTGGCACAGATGTATACACATACACAGATTATCCTCATCTTAACGGCGCTATACAGAATCTCACCATTTTCTCATTCTTTCTTTCTCTCTTTTAGTAGTTTATATTTGTTTTGATAGAATTTTGTTTTCTTCATGTTCCAATTGACC